TGATTTTTTAATCCAAACAATCAATGATTTATAAAGGTAAATCAGGAAAATGAACAAGGCTGCCCCAACGTTCGCACCCCACTGTATGTAATTATCATTTTCAACAGAAATATTTCCAGACAACATGAAAGTAGCTAAGGTAATTCCTCTTTTTAAGAATGGTGAGAAATGTGTGTTCAATAATTACAGACCAATATCCTTGTTACCACAGTTTTCAAAGATTTTAGAGAATTTATTTGTGACTAGATTAGATCAATTTATCGATAAACAAAAAATTCTAAGTAGTGTTCAGTATGGGTTTAGAAAAAAAGTATTTCCCTCCGTGAACTCTTCACTCAACTCTGATCGTTGAGTGAAAAACAAACATTGTGTTTTATATACTCACATTAGCTTTAGGAGGGYAGAGGTAGGAATTATAAWAATTTATGGCCCGCTGCATCTTCAATCACCAACCCACTGTCTCGCATCGAATTGAAGCTAAGCACACATATAGAGAACAGTTTAAATTCATGCTCCTATTTTGAAGTGAAGATGGTTTCCTATGCTCCGTCCTGTACCCAGAATGCATCGCTTCAGTTCACCAATAAACTGTTTAAAACTACTAATATGCTTTCCTATAAAAACCCTACCATAAACAAGGAAATGACAAAGAAGCCACAGAATTAGCAATCCACAACTGTTTACTTAACACCATGAGCCAAAAGTCTGTTTCAACAAATCACCTCCCCAAACTGCGACAACTTGCCATTCTGCGAAAGCAATTTGTCATGCCCCTAGTAGGCAGTATTGCACAAGAATGGCTCATGCTATCACCAAAATATATTTTGGTGAACTCTGAGACAACTTAGAGTAGAATAGAATAGAATAGCATAGAATAGAATAGAAAAGAAACAGCTTTATTGTTGTTATTTGTTGCAGAACTTGAGTGCCTATAAGTGATTTTACTAGCACTTTAGAACTTGCGCAACTAAATTTTCAGTTTGCACTTCACGCCAAGATTTTTTGTTTGTTTTTTAAAAGAAATTAAGAAAAMAAAAATCAAAACGTATGTTTACTCTTAGGTAACATTTCTGAGATTCCTACACATTAGAAATATACCAACAGATATCAAGTTTATAAATCATTAAAGAGAAAAATACTCAATCACACGTCTCTGACAGGTTTTACCTACTTGAAGTGTTTATCCTATGAATTTTTATTCATATTTTTAATCTCTGTCCCTTCCCTGCAGCCAAACTGGGTGACACCAAGGAACTAGAGGACTTCATTGCTGACCTTGACCGGACTTTAGAGAGTAAGTGTTATTGCAGTCAGAACAACTCCTTGATGAATTAGTTCATGAGCTGGCACCACCTCATGCAGAGGTCCATAACAGTCACTGAAGAGGTGGCGGATCCTGAGAGACCAAATAGCCATTCACCAACATGAAATGACATGATGGACTTGGCACTGTACCTGTATGGAGACATGTTGATCAATGCAAAATTAATGACTGAGGGTGCAGAGAGCTGCCCTTATAATATATCTGATGTCGTGAACGTGGCGATCGATTGATGCACCATAATTACTATCTGGCTGTTACTGTTCTGTTTTCATATTCATTTTCAGTTTGCTGCTCCTCTTACAGTTTGAAAAAACAAACAATAAATATATCCAAATATACAGTTCAATTGGAAATAATGTGCTGTGAATATCAGTAGCAATACATGGTATGGTGTAGGCACAATTTGCGAACAATTACAAAAATRAAACCCATACACAACTTTAAGATTTTGACTAAACAAATGATAAACCCCAGCAGTYTTGGGAGCTGTAGAGCAGGAGTATATTTCACAGTAGAAACATCATTCAAAGTTTAAATGCATTACAGAATGTTTACATGACTGATTTGGTATTTTGATATTTTTAACAATTCTTCAGAGCTGGTTTATGTTAAAGAACTATCTTTACAATAATGTCTGTAATCTTCACTTGGTCACTCTAAAGTAATCTAGAAAATATGCTGGAAATTTGAGCAGTGCCTGCATTTGTCACCTTTCTAAATCAGTTTTATAGTTTGTTCTTGTCTTCTTTGGTTTTTCAGGGGATGCTGTGGTGTWTTTATAAAATATAACTTGGAACTTKAGTGGGAAATAGTTGGGTTGGTTACGAAATGTCACTGGTTAATTTGAGTTGGGCTTGCTCTTTTCTCACAGCTTGTGTTGAAACTTGCACATTTGGTTTTGAGGAATGTGTGTAAGGCAGAGCAGAACAGAAATTCCAACTGTAAATGTCAGAGACGAATATATAAGTAGGAGTTATACCCACTTCACACACTACCCTCCTTTGTCTTGTGTTTTGGTCCCTGAATGTCTGTCTTTACGTCTCATAAATGTCCCCTCTGTCAGGCTGAGCCAGTCAGGCAGTCAGCCAGCTCTCCTGTTAGCCTCCAGGAATGCCTTGTTGGACTTCCTAACTTACTGAGCTGTGTTTGTTGGTCACTTCAAATTCAGAGATTATAGGCTTTTTGTGTTTGTGTGTGTTGCCTAATTTCAAACTGTRTTTTTGAAGAACAATTTCCCACGTTAATTATTTAATCTACTCAAGTACAATTTTGAAAGGAAGTCAGGTTTAGACGAGTCTTTCGAGAATTATTTATCATCAGCATAGTTTTTTAGACCTGGAAATGTTTTCTGTCAAGAGAAAATTTCCCATGCAGGCGTCAAAGTACATGTCTTGTGAGTTTCAGATGGGTTGGAGAAAAGTTGGTTTAACAGAACTCTGATATTTTAATAGAAAACCAGTGAGATGCTGGCTTTAACTAAAATATGCTTCATTTCAAAATTGTTCTCCAGTAGATGAAGTCAAAATAATGGATGGGAATGATACGAACAGAATTTGTAAAAATACAAACCTGGTTTTAACTTAATAAATTGTCACTAAATTTGGATAAAACTAATTATATGATATTTAGTAATAATAAGAGAACTGTTGATGTTCCATTTAGAGTTGATGGTGTTGAGATTTGTAGAGTCAGTGAAGTGAAGTTTTTGGGTTCATTATTGATGAAAAGCTGACATGGAAATCTCACATAAATCATTTAAAAACAAAAACAGCCAAATCCATTACAGTATTATACAAAGTAAGGGACTTATTTAATGATAAAGCTCTGTTTATATTATATAACACAATAATTGTTCCACATTTATTTACTGTGTTGAAGCCTGGAGTAAATCATGTAAAACAATCACAAATCTTATTTTTATTTTACAGAAAAGAGACGTCAGAATTATCWMCGGAAAACATTACWGTCATCCATCAAACACAATTTTATGAGTTGGTTGATTATAATATCTTGCAGATTATAAGGCTCATAAAAAATTACCTTTAAACATTCAGTTACATTTTGTTAAGAGAGAAAGTTTATATAATCTTAAAGAACTTGAGATGTTTATAAAACCTAAAATTCAAACAAATTTGAAGGATCGATGTTTTCAGTTCAAGGAATAAGATTGTRGAATAATCTGGAAAGAGATTATAAAAATGTTGGTTCAATGTGTTTTTTAAGAGAAAGATAATATGTTTGTTAAAGAAATATGAAACTGTATAATTTATATCAAAAGTTGTTGTTTGAGAATGAATTGGTTTTTAGTTTGTTTTGTTTTTTGATTATTTTTGTTTGAAATTAATTTAGGAAAAAAAAGGGGCAGATATACGATGTTTTTCTTCTTTCTGCCTCCTTTCATTTCAAGTGTGATTTTTTTTCTTTATTGTGTATAAAATTTTTATTTTTATATGAAAATAATAAATAAAAAAAATAAATAAAATGTGGGGACAGATGCCAAACAAAACAACTAGCAAAGACTAGTGTAGAGTTTTTAAGATATTTGCACAAATAAAATGTGGTTTTCAAAACCTGGTTGAGTAAAATGTGTTTGCATAGTTTACTTGTCTCTTGGTAAAACATTAAGAAAACAGACAGACTGCATCAGAAAATGTACCATTTTTTTAAATTTTGAGTCCCAGTCCCTTTATTCGGACCACCACTGTTTATGATGCCAGCATGTTAGACCAAAYGTCTACCACCTCCAGAACAGAAACAAACACACAAAAAATGTTTGTGTTTTTCTCCTGCCTCTCTGACCATCTCTGTCTGTTTTTAGGAATGTGACTCCAGAGCTCTGTCTTTTTGGWGTGTAGGAGGGAGTGGATGTTTGGACCCCATTGAGCAGTTAAAAGCCCACCCAACAGAGGTCCACCACTCCTGCATCACATCAACCATACAACACACAACTACCAAACCTTAACAACTGCAGGAAGAGTCAAAACCATCTGCAGCTAAAGGAACATGGGCCGAACGTTCTGAGGAGCAAAGATTTGTTTGACAGTTCAGACACTGGAGGATTCATCAGAAACATAAAACCTGCCGGCACCTGGACTAAACTCCACCCTCTCTTCTAAACTTGAGCAGAACGATACTTTTAAAAGGCTTTTTTAACAGACATGTTTGTAATTGTATACTGTTTCATTTTGTAAAATGTATCACTTTTATTTTTAAATATATTTTTGTATTATATGTAAATAATTCAGATTCTATATTTGCATTGACTGAACAGTCAGGTTGAAATTTGACATGTTGAGTGGAGTAAAGTTGATTTAATGTGAATTAAAAACCTTATTTGTGTTTAAAACATCTAACACTTGCCATAAATAACAGTAAACTATAAACTATTCCCTGTTGTGTAATATGTGTCACCTTTTGTGTTAACTTCAAACTTATCCAGCTTTAAACTTCACTCAAATTGTTTCTGTTAATCACATAACTGATTTTCTCAGTTGTAGATTACACATTTTTACTTTGCAGTCTGTTTTTAATAAATCCTCAGGAAGTTTATATATCTTTAAAATATCCTGAGTTTTTATTTCGATTTTATATATATTAACATAAAAATGACAATCATATAAAAGGGTGATTCTTTTTTGTGGCAACATTTTGGCTTCATAGCATTTGAAAAAGAAAATTGTATCAATATTTTAAATATTCCTGGAGAGGAGGGTCCGTCGGATAGTCGAACCTCGGATTCAGGAAGAGCAGTGTGGTTT